TAGTTGATTAGACACTCATGACCAGTGACTTCTTACACAGAAGTTACACATACAATAGAACACAGAAGTAACTTCTTACACAGAAGTTATACATGCAGTAGAACACAGCAGTAACTTCTTACACAGAAGACATACACACAATAGAACACAGAGGCGAATGAACAATTGATCACTTCTGACAGAAAAATAAGTCATAGTTTAATCGCTCTCGCATTGACGCTTTTTGATATAGATTCTTAGCTTAACACAAAATGTTAATAGTACACCAAAACAATTAGAAATAAACTAAGTGAGTTATATTTTATTTTTCATTAACAAACTTATTGATGATGGCACTGCAAATTACATTGTATTTCAATATATTTTTTTTGCCTTCACAAATGAATAATGTTTTTATTTTTTGGTAGAACGATATCAAATTAACGAGTCACAGAAAGTGTTGAATCTCTTGTCGACTTGATCATATGCTGCACGTACTAACATTGGATGGCATTGAAACTTTGATTAAATTTCAATGCGTTGAGCATAATTATGAAGAAAGTGGATCGCTTGGAATTATATACGATCCTGGTAGAAGACAAGTTTCCGACAATGAATGAAGTAGTAGAGAAGCGATTTGCATTTCGCCGCGTGTGAACATTTACTATGAAGATCGTCTAAAAGCGTTTTGACATAATATGAAGCATTCAATATTCAGTGGCAATTACAGTGTATACTTACCGGAGTGTCTTGTACCGTAGTATCTGTCCATCTCTGAGACGAGGCTGCAAAATGGACTTGAAACACTGTATTACAAAATGTAAACTTGGATGTAGCGTCATGTAATATCCACGACTGCCCACCTTAATTGAAAATTGTGTCAGGAGAAAAAGCTGGCCGGCGGGATCCAAGAGTTAAATATACCAACGCGGTTAATATGCAAGGGTTATAATATTATAATATAATTATATAATATAGCGGTTCCAGCGTTTATTAAACCGTAGGCCTGTCGCCGATTCTTAAAGCTAGTAAACCAACGATATGCGAGTTACAGAGCAGGGATTTCTGTTTATCGTTCAACATTGCAATATGTTAATGGCTGTGGTTACATTCGGTGCTCCAATTCAAATGTGTTCTAACTTGATGTTATGCTGCATATTCAAGAAAACTCTGCCCAAAATAATAAAAATTGTCTGTTTTTTCGGCTATTCCAGCCTGATAACACTAGCGCAAATTCACTCTGACAGTGTGTTCCAGTGGAGTTGCCTTTTCTCGACGTAGACGTAAAAAATTAAATTTCGCCAAAATCATGGTTTTTACACCATTACAAATTATGGAATTTTATTTAAATTGCTCGGTGACTTCGTATTTCATTGTTCTTTCAATTTATCGCCGTCATAATGGAGGTCATGCATAGAAGCTAAAAACATGAATCTCTAAAACTGGAAATATTACCAACATAACTTACGGGATTCTCAATAATCCGAGTCTAGGTTGATCGATGGTGGAGTTCAGTGATAATTTCGGTCGAGTTGGCAACACGGTTTTTCACACGCCATTGTTCACACTGTCCAGTAGACGTAACTAATCTTTCATTACATTTCGAAAAAATGATAGTTTTTACACCATTACAAATTATGGAATTTTATTCTAATTGCTCGGTGACTTCGTATTTCTTTGTTCTTTCAATTCATCGCCGTCATAATGGAGGTCATGTATAGAAGTTAAAGTTGAAAAAACATGAATGGCTAAAACTGGCAATATTACCAACATTACTTACGGAAATCTCTATAATCCGAGTCTAGGTTGATCGATGGTGGATTTCAGCGAGAATTTCAGTCGAGTTGGCAATACGGTTTATCACTCGTCATTGTTCGTACTGTCTGGTGCTGAGAGCTGAACTTCGGTATAGAGACATGTGTCCGGTGATATTTGAAGTTTGTAGAGGAGACCATGCCAAATTTAGGTAGAGCCACGTTTCATAATTCAGTGCTAAGTTTCATATTCAGTGCTAAGCTTCATATTCAGTGCTAAGTTTCATATTAGAGCTAAGTTTCGAATAGTCAACGGAATAGATCTTGTCTACTTCGCAGTTATCCACACGGCAAGTTTCATACTAACTCACCATATTGAAAATTATGATCAAAACTACCCCGAACAACTATTATATAATGATACTGGCTTGGTGGTGGCCCGGCAGGCTGGAATTCCAGGACAGTGTTTAAACTTAAAGTTTGTCATTTTGGGCGGATGCAGGGCCATCATTGATTGTAATGTCATCCTCTCCAGACTGTGATATGGTTGTGGGATTGTAGTGTCACTAGGTGAGTTAGGAAAATAGGGAATGGTATACAGACATACTGGCGAGATTGGCTATGGGCAGGTGGACTGCCGGGGAGGCCCTGAGAGGGGACATGGGATGAAGTACCTTTAAGGAGGGACGAATGAGATCAGTCTTGAGGTATAAAGTGAGACTGGAGCGAATGGACGATGAACGTTGGAAACGAAGGATGTATCTGTGGAAAATAAAAGTGAGTAAATGGGCACGTAGATGTCGTGCAGTGGTACGTAAGTGTGGTATGCATGAAACATGGGTGCGCCAAGGGCCCACTGGGGCCTGGGCCAAAGGTTGAATGGGTTGTGAGTACGGAGTGCGGTTGGGATAGAGTGGGATGAAAAAGAGTGGAAACGGAAATAAATAAGCGAGTGAAAGACGATGGGCTGAAGGTGTGGAAGCAAGGAATGGAGGGAAATAACACTCTAAATCTGTATCAATGAAAGCGATGTCAATATATGAATGTATGTATGATGGTAGTAGAGGTGGGGACCTTCTGTTTTGTGTGAGGGCAAGGGCGTTTGGTGTGGATAGACGAACTCACAGATGGAATGAGAGGAGGGAAGATAAATGTTTTATGTGTGATGGAAATGTGAAGGAAACTGCGGAGCACTTGTTTATGGAATATGGGGCGTATGAGTGAGAGCGTCAGTCCATGAAGGCGAGATTAGCGAAATGGGGTATAAGAGAACAAGCGAAGAAAATCTGGCAATGATTGTGGGTCTGTCTGAGGGAGCAACTGTAGCTTTACTCGAGTGCGAAGAGATAGTTGGAAAACGCGTGGAAGTTTAGGGAGAGGAGGGTGGGAAGGCAGGGAGAGCAGCCGTGCACCACCAATTTTGTGCACCAATAAGCTCTGAATCGAACGCCATGGATCTCTCCGGACATCCACCAATCAGCCGTGAACCACTCTGCTTTGCTCTCCTCCGGCCTTGCAAAGAACCTGCCGTGCACCACCAGGCCGCGGGTCAAATATGATTTCCGGGCATCGTTAAATTACGTAAATTTACGTTCACTGCATCTGATGTTAGGTTTCAGATAGCATAGTTCTGTTCCAAAATATATCGTCCTTCGACGAGTGGCCTTTCGACCGAGGGATGATTCGACGCACGCCTGGATATGATTGTCCAGAAGTGTTGAAGGCTACGTCCCGGAAGGCAGGAATCATGATTGTCCATTACATGCAGGGCTGTTGTGGTCTTTGGCAGGCTACCCGGAAGGCATAGGTGACCGTGCCAGGTGTTTTAGTGCATAGTTTCAGTTTTTAGGATGGTGACATGTGTGACTGAATGTTTTAGTCTTTAAAGATTATAATGACTACTTAGTAATTAAAAATTTTGTTAACTGCCCAGTGCGACGTGAAATTTTACATTTTTTACGCTAGGAAAAGATATTTTATGCAGCGTGAAAGACCGATCTGAAGGTCTTGACCGGAGGTCAGCAAGCATACTGATTTCAATTCCAATTCTCTCCAGACGGTGATTAGTTGTTTCCGATATGCTCTGTGTTCTTGTTCAGCTTATGCTTATCGAGAATTCCACCCTGGTCACTCACTATTGGGAAAGTCCGAGTCAGTGACTGGTAACTAAACAAATTTAGTTGAATGCTAGATGATCATAAGATGGAGGTGTCATTGGAGTCAGATTTAAATCTGTTTACGTCAATTGTATAGCTCAGAAAATGAACAACCGGTAAGCGGTTAATCATTTGTGAACGTTAATTCATCTAATTTTAGACGTCTAATCTACGTCACTAGCCATTCTTGCTACAATACATAAACGTTGATAAATCTTAGGTTATACGTCATATTTACGTCACTATAGCCATGCTTGCTACAATACGTGTACGTTGATTAATCCGAATTTATGAGTAATATCTGTGTTATTAGAATTACTTGCTTTCTGTTTCGACTTCTGTAATGAATGTCGATCATTAAAGGTTGCTGATAACAATTAACCTTCTGTTCTCTTCTCGGAATTTCTGTAGTTAAGCAAATGTTGAAAAAAATTACCAGCCGCCTGTCTCTTGACTTGGAAGACGCATCAAAAGCCAACTTTTGAAAAGAATCTTGCTATATATCTAGATACAAAGTTCCTTTATTCGAGGTAAAAGCAATTGATGAAAAAAATAATACCTATAGTTCATTTTTCCGCAATTTGTTCCTCTTTCAGATTTCATGAATATTTCATTGTTATTTCAGAAGAAAAAGAACTTGGCTATCCTGATGTAACCCAATATTCTTCAAAAGCTGGTTTTCGATGCATCTTCCAACTCGAGAGTCGAAATGTTTTTCGGTACCTGCTAAACTTCGGGGGCGCCGTCTTTCCTTTATTTTCAGGAAGTAGGTTCACGATGGTGCTTTTTAATCGGGTCTAAATTCAGTCATGTTATAATTTTTTATCTAAATTTTAAATTTAAATTTATTTTAGATGAATTTGTCACATTTTAAATTATTTTCATTTTAAAAAGTCAACGGAAGTGTCCGATCGCTATTGGCGTTGATTTCCCGAATCGCCATGATCATTTTACCCGAAACATTATTCAATTCATTCATAAGCAAAAATTTCAAGATTTGAAGGTTGCCTTAATTTATTTGAATACGAGCATATTACCAACCAGTCCTCGTTCGGAACTGCTTAGTGTATGACAAAATCGACAGTTGAACGTTTGCTAAGCATTTGACAGCATGGAACGGCAAATACATGCCCAAGGAGGCGACGATGCTGGCCAACAGATTCCCCACGGTCACCAGGCACCCGAACAGGGTGGCCGACAGAGGCCTCACGGCCTCCAGGCACCCGAACAGAGTGGCCGACAGAAAGAACAAACGATTGGCCAGCAAGCGCCTCGCGTCAAAGACGTAAAAGAACACAGCGGTCAGCAGGTGGTTCATGGCCACCACGCACCCGAACACAGCGCTAAGCAGGTGGTTCACGGCCACCACGCACCCGAACACAGTGGTCAGCAATTGCCACAATGTCTCCACGCACCCGGAAGTTCCAGCAGCGAAAGTCAAAATTTCGTTTATACTCCTCCGCAAACACCTCAGCAGACACCTCAGCAGACACCTCCTCAAACACCTCCGAAATCACCGCAGGGTGAAAGATTTCAATTGTTCCTCCCTGGTCCTAGCGCTGCACATCTTCTACCTGGTCCTATTGTTGGACATTCTCCACCTGGTCCTAGTGTTGCACGTTCTCCATCTGGTCCTAGTGTTGCACGTTCTCCACCTGGTCCTAGTGTTGCACGTTCTCCACCTGGTCCTAGTGTTGCATGTTCTCCACCTGGTTCTAGTGTTGCACGTTCTCCACCTGGTCCTAATGTTGCACGTTCTAAACCTGGTCCTAGTACTGCACATTCTCCACCTGGTCCTAGTGTTGCACATTCTCCACCTGGTCCTAGTGTTGCACATTCTCTACCTGGTCCTAGTGTTGCACGTTCTCCACCTGGTCCTAGTGCTTTAAGTTCTCTACCAGGTCCTAGCGCTGCACGTTCTATCCTTGACCATCGCACTGTCCCAGCCGCCCCTCGGCCCTGCGTTTCCATTGACCTCCCCTACCCTCAAGCCTTCCAAGTTGACCCTCGGCTCCAGACGCCGCGAGTGGCTCTGTCAAACTTGTACCGCCACATGGACGACGACAGGCAACAGCTCCTCAGAATCTGGACACGCGACGACGTCTACGCCGTACAATGTCTTCGGAATTTCGGGCTTGAGTATGACTTTTTCTATCGTGCTTATCAATACACTGCTATTATGGAGGAGCAACAGGAAGATCAAGAGATAATGGAGGAGCAACAGAGAGATTAAATGAAGGATCTAGTTAGAGATCTCCTAGAACATTACTGTAGTGTAAAAATCGTTCAAATAATGGCCGGTTTCATTACGTTCGAAAAGCCGTGCCAATTTCAGGATGATTGACCAGTTCTGATGCATCTTAACTAGATGCCTTGCAATGTTGCCACTTTGATGTTTTCCTGCAATGGTTGCTTGAAAATGATATTTTACTACATATTTACCCTATCATAAAAGTGTAAATAACGAGTAATTCAAGCGCCCTTAGCCTCATGGAACTGATCGTCCCTTGGTCAGAGCCTTGACGATTTGTCTCTCGCTGTTGCAATTTCCCCTTTTGAAGATGATACTAGCACTGATTGTGTTCAAGCGTGGCTTGAATCAGGTGCTGTATTTATGTAACCTGATATTTTTTATGGCGTTAACGTGTCATCGTATGCGAAAAAGATTTTAAAATTATAATCCAGCAATAGTTTATCTTTTATTTCTGACTAAACTGTGAAACCATCGATTTTATTTTCTGAGTGTCTGTTGCTGTGATGGTGTGTTATTTGTCTACTAGTAAGAATAATTTTTTAATATATTTAGGTGACATTTTAAATTTTAAAATAACTTTTAAACTGGCAACTTGTGTTCAAAGATCGCGCAATCTTCGAGCGAGATTAGTCCTGAGCTCGATTTTAAGAACATTTATTCTAATTGCTTGACTCCTGGAATCTATTTGTTGGTTGAAGTAATTTAAATAAATTTTCATAAGAACAGAATATCTGTGCAATTTTTCCTATATACTATCAGCGTATACAAAAAATATCAGAGCATACAAATAATTAAATAAATAATCTAAATTAAATTGAATGCTAACTGATTATTTCTAATTAATATATTAACTAAGAGGATGTTTGGACGCGAATCGTACGCTAAGCACCTGGCACGGTAGGCTAAATATTTTATGATGATGTTTCTTATTGAATAGCCGAATTAAAAAATAAGAGTTTTCCGATAGAAATTTCTTTAATTGTTGACATCGTGTGCGGCTGAACGAAACTTCCTCGGGACATTATTCCTCCGTAGCCCTTGAACATAAACTGATAAAGACTCGGGTGAGGAATGATTGTTTGCGCGAGGAATGAAGGTGCATTCATGAAATTAAGGCTCGTACAATGAATGAAGGGTCGTGCAAGGAATGAAGGCTTGTACGAGGAATGAAGGCTCGTGCAAGGAATGAAGACTCGTGCTAGGAATGAAGGTTCGTGCAAGGAATGAAGGCTCGTGCTAGGAATGAAGGTTCGTGCTAGGCATTAAGGCTCGTGCGAGGAATGAGGCGAGGAATGGTCACCTCGCCAAAACTATCGAATAAAATCCCTTGTAATTTTAATTGTTGGTACGCCGGGAACAACATTCAGCTCTGCAAAAGAGTACTTGCCTTTTAAGTGCGAACAACATCCGCGGTTATCAATAATTCAGCTCGTTAAAACTTAGTTCTGGATGTTAGGTTATTTCTCACAAGAAGCATGCGGTCCAATTTTCAATTAATTTCTGCTGCGCCTACATGATAAATTGATGGCTGATGAGGATCAAAGCCAATTTATGTCGTAATAGCAGTAGCGGAAAATTAGTTTAAAGGGATCGCGACTACAAGCGAAACAGCGTCAGGATTTTCCATCATAAATTAGTAAGCGAGTGTGAGCCTTTCAATTTGCATGTCGCTTCAATAAAAAAGTAGCCGGGCACACGATTCTTTCATGCTTCTAGAGTGGCTTAAAGTTTCCTTAATAATAATAAACAGAAGGCTAGTGCCTGAACTCTCTATAAACTCACACATGCTTGGCGAATTACACTTCTGGCAATGGAGTTATAGCGGCCTCGGTCGTAATTACCATCACACGCGCTACTCATTTTCTATGATGTATAAAGAAAATTACACGCTGCTCCCGCCTTAATTTATTAGAGACACAAGGCGCCCAGACTCTGCTAAAAAAGAAGAGATATTCTAGATCCCAGAACTTGTCTCTAGCGAAGCTGTTTCAATCTACCGCTGAGATGTCGGTGGATTCTTTCTTTTCTTGATGTGAAGCTTCAATAAATGTTCAGTATTGCGATTTAAATCTTTGTTATGTTGGTCAGTCTTATTGAGGTCCAACCGAAGTGGCAATTATCTCATATTATCAAGAGACAAGATATCAAGATTAAAAATCTTGATCAAAATCACGAGTTCGACATTTAAGGAAGATGTTATCTATCGTTGCTATGGATGTTATGAATGACTGGCCACATCGTTTTGGCCAAAACATCTGCTGCTACATCAGTATTTGTAGAATATTTGCCGCTTGCACTGAAAAGACTAATACGAACTTGACACATATTCTTTCACACATCCATACGAAAATTTATTTCGTGAGACAACCACACGAATATTTATTCCTTCGCACAAATAATTATTAATCACATATACTGTTTCCTAACCAAATATTTATTTCTCCCACAATTGTTTGTTCCTCATACAAGTACTTTTTCCTCACACATACTTATTCCTCAGAAGAATATTTATTCATTTACACAGATATTAATTCCTCGCAAAAATATTTATTCCACACGAATATTCATTCCTTCGCACAAATAATTATTCCTCATGCAGATATTTATTCCTTACACATATTTTTATTCATCCCACAAAAATTTATTCTTCCCAAAATTTTTTTTCCTTCACACATAACATATTTTCACACATAACTTTCCACGTAAAAGTTAACTGTTTCACACACTCACACAAACTTTCATGCGTACACTCAACCATACAAACCATAGTTAGCGTATCTATGCAGAAAATACAACGTTTGCTTATTCTGTAATTAAAAACAGAATGATTTTACATAAGCTTGAGAGACTCAATTGTTTCAATGGTAACTACAAACAATTCGGTACTTATACCGAAATAAAATTATTTTGAATTTTTTAAAATATTATTTTTATCTAAAATACTATTACTATTATCTAAAATACTATTACTATTATTTAAAATACTATTTTATTATTTATTTTTACGTGACGTTGATAGCTGAGGATAATATCATATTTTTAATGTAACTGCTGAGCTGTTATACGATGTTGTTAGAGCGGCTCAATGTCCTATATTTGCTTATGAATTTTCATGTATTATTTAATACATAGGATTTTTTATTTGTTGTTTAATTCGTTTATAGTTTTATTCAAACCGGCGCTATTCAGGATAAATAATTCCTGATATTGGAAATTTCGAGGCACATTTATCAAGATTAAGATATCAAATATTTATAATAAAATAATATATCAAACTATACATTTTTATCGAAAATAATAACAGTTAAAAATCGTATTCATTTAATAAAAGGTTCCTATTTGATTCCAAATCCGGAGCTAAAATTAATTTTTAATTTATTCCTACGATAATTAAATAGCACTTTATATGGCAAAAATTTTAATGATAAATATAAAAAGTTCACTATCTCCTTGCGAACTATCTTTATGACTTGCTTCTTATTAATGATTACTTCATGAGAACTAGTTTCAGAGCCGAGCAACTTAACTGCAACTGGCGCTATAAACTGCAACTGGCGCTAAACTGCAACTGGCGCTAAACTGCAACTGGCGCTAAACTGCAACTGGCGCTAAGCTTAACTGCAACTGGCGCTAAACTGCAACTGGCGCTAAACTGCAACTGGCGCTAAACTGCAACTGGCGCTAAACTGCAACTGGTGCTAAACTGCAATTGGCGCTAAACTGCAACTGGCGCTAAACGATTTGTTAACTCGTCAACAACCAAAATTTAATAAATCATGCGAAATTGCGTCGATTGCCTCTTCATAGTGTTTCGCCATTTGATTTAATAAATTCCCTTATTTTGAAACTTAGATTTTTTTTGCAACCAACCTCATATAATGGCTCTAATACTGCAGGCACCACTATAAAGACCGGCAAGTATCAATAGCAAATTTTTTATAACAAACCACATAGGGGCTGTCAGGGAACGTCGCTTCGAAATTATATTTAGGGGGTATGCAAATCAAATTCAAGTAGGCAGGTTGCATTTATAAACTACAGTTAACGTTACAGGCTTAAAGTAGACAGGATATGAGGGAATATAATTGATAATGGTACAAAGTGAATATAAATAGGTAAGTGAACTCGTGGGACAAGGTTCAGTCCTAAAGATCTGACCTGCTTAAGATACAAGCCTGAATTATTAATATCAATGCCATTATATTGATTTGTCTTCACGTACTTAGTTCAATTTTCCAAGCATAAATGCAAACATCCATAGTTTTATCCTAAGATACACAAAGACACAAATATTGCCCTACACTTATATGCTCACCTGCTCAGTGTGGGAGAATAGGGTCGACAATTTTATTCAGCAGACCAAGCACTGAGCAAAGTGACGGAATTGAAGAAAAAGTCTAGTACAGAAATGTATATGGACCCTTCACGGAGGCGCTAATAGTAGCACCCTTATGTGTAAATGTGTAAGTAATTGTGCCTAGAAAACACCCATATACATCAGAACTGCACCCATGGTAGGACAACGGTTTGGTCCAATAAGAAGGAACACAGGGACAGATTTCACACGGTACAACGTCAACAGATTTCACACGGTACAACGTCAACAGATTTCACACGGTACAACGTCAACAGATTTCACACGGTACAACGTCTGATAAGAGATGTGGGCGATGCACTGCTATCTGCGCTGCGTATGCAAAACTGTACTCACGTCGCTTAACTGTAATATTTATTTTATTGTTGGTCACACAGTAAATCAAACGTGTCTCGATGTTATTGTCGATCGAGCGTTAAATAATCGTTGCTTGATTTTATTTTTGATCTATTCGATCTTCGATTTTGTTTTAGATTTTAATTTTATTTTCAATTTTAATTTTATTTTCTATTTTGATTTTATATTCGATTTAATTTTATTTTGGATTTTGATTTTATTTTCGATTTTGATTGAATTTTTGATTTCGACCTTATTTGTGATTTCGATTTTATTTTCCATTTTAAGTTTACTTTTGATTTTGGTTTTATTTTCAATTTTGATTTTATTTTCGATTTTGATTTTATTTTCAATTTTTATTTTATTTTTATTTTTGATTTAATTTTCGATTTTGATTTTATTTAGATTTGATTTTATATTCAATTTTAATTTCATTTTCGATTTTGATTTCATTTTCGATTTGATTTTATTTTCAATTTTGATTTTATTTTAATTTTTGATTTAATTTTTGATTTTGATTTTATTTAGATATTAGATTTGATTTTATATTCAATTATAATTTTATTTTCAATTTTGATTTTATTTTAATTTTTGATTTAATTTTCGATTTTGATTTTATTTAGATTTGATTTTATTTTCAATTTTAGTTTTATTTTCGATTTTGATTTTATTTTCGATTTTGATTTTATTTTCGATTTTGAATTTTTTTTTCAATTTTTATTTTACTTAGATTTGATATTATTTTCAATTTTATTTTATTTCCAATTTTTTTCATTTTGATATTATTTTCAATTTTGATTTTATTTTAATTTTTTATTTTATTTTCGATTTTGATTTTATTTAGATTTGATATTATTTTCAATTTTGATTTTATTTTCAATTTGATCTTATTTTCGATTTTGTTTTTTTTTTCGATCTTCGCTAAAATGTATTCCTGACGCTAATTTTTGTTTTGATGCAACACTGCCCTAGCTGCTTGGCTGTGCGCGAAATTAAAATCTAGGTTG